GGTGTGGGGTTAGCCTCCGCTTGCTGGTTTAAGGTCAAGGGTTTTGGGTTTAGGGTTTAGGGCCCCCTTCTCTGGAAAGAACCCAAACCAACAAACTCATACACCCCGAAACATTAAATTCGGAAGCCTAAAACTTCTGAACCCTCAACAACCCCAGCCCTGAGCCCTGAAGATCCCCCAAGGCCTGAACCCCCAAGCCCTATAAACCTTAAACTGGGTTGTTGCTAAGCAACTTAATTTAAGTTACTATACTGGGGAAACCCTCTTAAACCCTCTTAATTATTTACGGTATATGTACATATACCCATTATTGTAACTGATTTTAAGTTCCTCAACAGCAACCGAGTAAACCCTGAGCCCCGGCACCATTCCCACGCAGCAGTTCCTGGTCCCGCCAAACAAACAAACCCTGAGCCCTAACCCCAAACCGACGTTTAGAGCTTTGGGTTTTGGGTTTAAGGTACATAAAACAAAAAACCTAAAACCCTAAACTTTGAACTGCAAACCCTAAACTCACTAAACCCTAAACCCTAAGCTCCCTAAACCCTAAACCCCAAATCCTAAACCCTAAATCCTAAACCCTAAATCCTAATTCCCAAATCCTAAGCCCTAAACCCCAACCCTAAACCCTAAACCCTAAACCCTAAACCCTAAACCCTAAACCCCAAAATCCTAAACTCCTAAACCCAAAGTCGTGTTGCGAAGCCGTCTGCCATGAAGCCGAGGCTCCCCACGAAGCGGAGGCCGAAGCTGCTGAGGCGTGTCTTCATCTTGATTCTGGGTTGTTGTTTGTAGGATTTTGTAGGTTTTCTGTAGGATTTTGTAGGCTTTTGTAGGATTTGAGTAGGATGTTTGTAGAGTTGTTGTAGGAGTTTTTGCAGGATTTTTGTAGCATTTGTGTGGATTTGTTTGATTTGGGGTGTAAGGTTTAAAGTTTGGGCTCCAGGGCTTGGGTTTGAAGGTTGAGGGTTTAAGGTAAATTGGGTTAGAGAATATTGAATATGTAGTGTTGCATGTTTGTGTATTGCTGAACTTTGTATAGAGCAGAAATGGCCATATCCTGTAATATTTCATAACTCTATGAAGGATGACACTCGTGTTTGTGATGTACCTACATCATATGAGCGATAGTCTAAACTCCTAGTATCCCCCTGAATAACCCTCATAGTAGTCCCATATATACCCCCCCTATATAACCACCTTCAGGGAGTTTAGACTATAGCTCATAGGGGTTCATAGATAATCCAACCACATGCCAGGATCCTCCCCCGGATCCTACGGCTGATGGGGTCGGCAGCCCTGACGGAGATGGCCACCATGACGTGTCCGACAGACCTGAAGAAGCCCAGCCGTCTGCTCCTCTGCGTTTGCACGTGTTTCAAACTAGATGGGCGTTGGAAGACAAGGGGGGTCCCCCTCATATGTCCCTAAACCTTACACCATAAACCCCAACAAGTAGTGATCCTTAAGGATGGACCCCTGACTTGCAAACTCCCGCAGATGTCTTATGCGTGCTCGTGCGGGTGGAGTTCGGGGGAAGTTTATGCCATGGCCCAGCACGACAGACTTTGGTACAAAATGCCCCAAAAGCCCAGATCCCTAAATCCACCAGCACAAATCCTTTGATCCTTGAACCCTAAGCCCTAAATCCCTAAACTCTAATCCTGTGCAAGGTTTTTGGGGGGTTGCTCAAGTTAGGGAACCTTAGTGCTAGTAAGGATTAGGGAGTGCTGGAGATGCGTGTTTTGGGCTCAGGGTTTAGGGTGTAGGGGTCTAGGGCTTTGGGGGTTTATGGTTTAGGGGTTTAGGATTTAGGAGTTTTGGGGTTCAGGGTTCCCGCCTTGAACCACCCGCTTGAGGAGCTTGTACTTCATTTTGTAGGGCTTGATCTAGAAGGGTAGCTGAAGAGTCTCTTTTACTATAAGTGCTTTGGCCCTATTGAAGCCCCAACGCACTACTGTAGATAGATCCTGAACCCTGAACTAAACTTGTAAACCCTACTCCTAAACCGTAAGCCCTACCTGGACCCTGGATGTCCTTACTTTTTAAGGTTCTGTCCTACACATTTCTAGGGTATATCCCAAAAAAGGTAGGACATCCAGGGTCCAGGTAGCTCCTTTTCTTCCAGGCTCGACTTGGCGAGCACGCCCGCACCTGCTAGCAGGCCGCCACAAGGGCCCAGAAGAATAGGGTTTAGGGTTTAGGGTTTAGGCTTCAGTACGGAGATATAGGGTTATCATAGGAATAATGGAGAATCACATGGAACATGACATTGAATCTACTGTTTTCGTAGGGTCTATACTATAACGTTTAGCGGTTAGGACGTGATTTCTCAGTGGGCGGGCCTTTGGGGAGCCTAGTATAGGGATATTTAGCGATTACAAAGGGCTTGTGGGCGGACCTTATTTGGGATTATACAGGGATAGTGCTCGGGGCACGGGGTCCTTTCAAAGAGTCTGCATGGATGGGTGTTTCTTTGTTTTATCCTCGTGGGCCTCTCCTAATGAGGAATATCATATTTTTTGGCGGGGTATGGAGGGGATAGCTTTCATGTTTGGAGCCACCGCACAGACCCCTGATTGGCAAACCGTTCAGATTAATTGAGAAGATATTGGTACAAGGATGCTCAGCTATGGGTCCTCAGAGAAGGTTTGGGTGTCTTTGAACTTCCAACTGGCACCGGATCAGTAGCCTTCCTGGTAGCCATCCTTGTGTATTTAAAGCCTGAATTATTACCTACACCGCAAAACCTTGTTCTCAGAATCTAGGCTTCCATCCTATACAGTCAGTGCAACACCACCGTACGGTTTGGGGCATCTCCAGTACCATGATAACTCTAGACGGCCAGCAATTGAATCCCGGAAACTCCTTCATAAACCCAGTTTCCATTTAATTCTAATTTTCTTGGCAACTTGTTTCTACGTAAACTTCTTAGGCCCCTACAGCGCTGCTTTGGGCGGATCCTTGGGCAGCCTTTTCAGTACCTCAAACAAGGCCATCGGCCGTCTCTGGGATGACCCACGATTGGGCCGGAAGCAGACTTACCCGCGTCCACACCACAATTCAACCTACAAAAAAAAGGAGTTGCTCGATGAACTCTAAACCCTTAAGCCGAACCCCCAAACACTAAACTCCAAACCCGTTAGCCCAAACTCAAAATCCTCAGTCTCGCTCCATCCCTTCTTACTCCTAAAATATGATTATCTCCTTACTAGACTATTACTGTATTACTATGTTATAACTACCCGAAATCCCTTTTTATTTCTGGACTATTCAGAGCTCTTTTGAAAGACGTAGCGAACTAACTGGGAGGCCGTCGCCACTTCCCAGTCTCAAGGACACTGGCACCAGGTTTTGGGGCTCCAGGGCCTTAGAGTTTACTCTCGAAGAGACCTCAAATAGCACTGGTAATCCTTCAGGCCCCTTTATCAAGCTTTTGGCCTTTATGCTTTTGGGTTTGAGGTGCAGAGCTTCAGTTTGAGGTTTTAGGTTTAGGGCGTAGGGCTGAAGATGTAGACACCTAAATGGCGGCCGGTGACATCTCCTTTTACGGAGGCCTTCAGCAGCTCTAGTATATGGTCGCTTAGTGTTTAGGGTTTGGGGTTTAGAGCCCCTCAACAGCAAGGAGAATTGGTTTACCCAGCCCCCAAAGACGAAGGAAACTAGGATTATAGGACGCTTGTGGGGTCCTCATTATGGGGTTTTGTTGGGGCTACCAATATCCTCTTCTGGCTTAATGGATTTCCCCATATAAGCACAGCTTTGAAGATTTGATTGTTTCATTTGATTTCCACTTGGTTCTCCAATCGCGCACCCTAAACCCTAAACCCTCAGCCGAGAAGAGGTCCCGCAAACGAAAAACAACGAACCCTAAACCCTAAACCCCGAACCCTAAATCCTAAACCCCTAATCCTGAACCCTGAGTGTTTTTGCAGGATGGTTGGAGAGCAGCATTTGATCCAGGGCACATTCGGCGTGTGGGCAGGCTGCCTTGCTGATTCAGAAGATTCATGGAAACTGATGGAAGCCCAAAGGGACTTCATATATATACATATATATATATATAGAGGGCTTAGGGTTTAGGGGTTTCAGGTTTAGAGGTTTAGGGTTTAGAGACCTCATTATTGGGGACTTAGACCCTTGAGGGCAGCTGAACCCTAAACCTTAAACCAATTTGCCGGCAGGCAGCGCTTCTTCGAAGGTTGCAAGTCGCTAGGCTACTCCAAGGAGCGGCTTTCCACCCAACTGGATTGCCTTGGAGTTGAGGTACTGTAGTCTAAACTCCTTAAAGGGGGTTATATAGGGGATTATATAGGGAACTACTATAGGGCTTATTAAAGGGGATACTAGGAGTTTAGACTATGGCTCATATGAGCTGGGGTTTATGGTTTAGGGATCATATGAGCTGTATTCTAAGTCCTTAAGGCGGGGTTATATAGGGGATTATAAAGGGGAGTACGATAGGGGATGCTAACAGGGATAATAGGAGTTTAAACTATAGCTCATACAGGGGGATGTGTGCGGTAATATGAGCGACTGCTTTTCTTATCGTGTAGGAGCCAATGTCAGGCAGAGACAACAACATCCAGACATGAACAAAACACTAGCAAAATGATAGTCCCGCCCCAACAGCCATACCCAAGAATGCGACTTATAAGGGTTCCTTCCAAAAAAACAAAGATGCGGGGCATGCAGGTGAGGGATCGGGCAAAGCACTGTATAAGGATAGGTATGAACACCGCATTGTGCCAAAACCCTGTTAAAGTAGGCCACCCAAAAAGTGATGCCTTTCATTTTGTCATCCAGCTGTTGATAAGCAAGTTACGCAGCTGCTCATAAGGGTCTATAGAGGGCTAGTGGCAAAGAACATGGAAACTACAATTCACGGGTTAGGGTTCAGGGTTTGGGCTTTAGGGTTTCAAGGCTTAGGGATCTTTAGCCGATACAGTAGTTAGTTTACATAGGATTTGCCTAATATTGGAGTACTACACTTTAATAGTTTTTTGGTTCCTGGGATCCCATTATAACAACTTATACCTAAAACGTCTATACTTTTTTCTGAGGTGTACGCCAAAGTAGGGTTTGGGCCATAGGGTTAACCCATCCTTTGTTTATGCTTACGCTTACTGAGGTTCGGGGTTTCCTGCTTTTATAACTACAAACAGGATTGTTTTGATTTTGCCCCAAGGGTCCAAGTACCTAAATAGCATGTACGTACGGCCCGAAGAAGCTACATAGGAGCCCATGTTGGGCACAAATCATCTACTATTTAAGTACGCTCAGGGCACCCTAAACCGTAAACCCTAAACCCTCACCCTAAACCTTAAACCCTACACTACTATTTGAGTACTTGGACCCTTAGGGTTTTGGGGTGTGTAGGAGTCTCACCCAGCCGCCCAGTTCGCCCCAAGCCTGCCTCTTCAAGATGGTTTGTACAGTGTTATATAGGGTTAACTGGGGTTATACAGGGGCTATAGGGTTATATAGGGTTCCAGGGCTATGTAGGGTTATATGGGGTTAGGGTGTTATGTAAGGTTATATAGGGGTATATGAGTTGAAACGGGTTATAGGCTTCTATGGGGTTATACAGGGTTATATAGGGTTATATACGGTTATAGGGCTACATCGGGTTATATGGGGAGATCTGGAAATGAGGAATAGCGACAGGGTGCATTGCCATACCGCAGGACGCCAATCGCCTCTTCGATCTCTTGCGCCCGGATCCCTTCCGGGAATATCTCATTTTCGAGGCCTGGTGGATCCACCTTGCAAGTTCGCCCTCAACGGCAACCTTACATCAGGGAATATAGGGGTATAAGATAGGGGTTATTTAGGGATAATGGAAAGTAGAATGGAAACTGCTACTTAGGGTTTGTGGGGTTAAGGGCTTTTCAGGAGCTCTTCTACGGAGATTCGCAGGATTCGTGCACGGAGTCTGACCTAATTACAAGCTTTCATAGGCAATGCAAAGAATTGCAGAGCTCCCTGCAAAGGCGTAGGGGCTCGAGCCCACGTTTTTTCAAGATCTCAAGGCTGGTAGATGATGCTGGGTTGCTGTTTAGGGTTTATAGGGTTTAGGTTTTAGGGTTTAGGGTTAGGGTATATTATCCCTTAGAATGGAGAATCAGATGGCAAATAAAATGGAACATGAAATGGAAGCTGGGGAAATATAGGGGCTCAAGGAACTTAATCTAGGTTTCTAGATTGGGTACTATTTTGGGAAACTCCATAATTTAATATATCTACCCATCATGGTAACTTAAACCCTAAATCCTA